CAGGAAAATCCTGGGAAAAATCCGGGAAAAAACTGGCGAAAATCCTGGGAAAATCCTGGGGAAAATCCGGGAAAATCTGGGAAAAAAAATCGGGGAAAAATCCCGGGAAAATCTGGGAAAAATCCTGGGAAAATCCGGGGAAAATCCCAGGAAATCCAGAGAAAATTACTGGGAAAAATCCAGGAAAAATCCGGGGAAAATCCTGGGGAAAATCCAGGGAAAATCTGGGAAAAATCCGGGAAAGTCCTGGAAAAAAACGGGGAAAATCCCAGGAAATCCAGGGAAAATTACTGGGAAAAATACGGGGAGAATATAGGAAAAAATCTGGGAAAATAGTGGGAAAATCCAGGAAAATCCTGGGAAAAATCCTGGGAAAATCCAGGAAAAAAAAAACCCAGAAAAATCCTGGGAAAAATCCAGGAAATTCTGCAAAATCTTGGGAACCACCTGGCCCCGGCCTGCCTGAGGATTCCTGGGAATTTATTGGGATTTTATGGGGGTTTTATTGGGATTTTACAGGGGATTTTCTTGAGATTTTTCTGGAATTTTCCTGAGATTTTCCCAGCATTTTACTGGGAATTTCCTGGGATTTTTTTGGGATTTTACGGGGGGTTTGTTGAGATTTTTCTGGAATTTTGCAGGGATATTTTCCTGGGATTTTCCTGGGATTTTCCAGGGATTTTCCTTGGAATTCTGAGAGATTTCCCAGGGATTTTCCTGGGATTTCCCTGGAATTTCCTGGGATTTTCCTGGGATTTCCCTGGAATTCCCACATCCCGGCCTCACTCCCGCATTCCCATCCCGTTGGTTTTTTTTCCGTTCCCATCCCATCAGCATTCCCGAATTCCCGTTTTTTTCCCCCGGGATTTTGGGAATTCTGACTCCTCCCTTTTGTTTTCCAGCATTTCATGTCCCCCTGTCCCCCACTGAAGGTAAAAATTCCCAATTTTTTCGTTGCTTTTCCTTCATTTTTCTGGCATTGTTTTCCCTTGGTTTTGGGGTTTGTTCCCATTTTCTCTTCCCTGATGGAATTCCTGGGAACGCCGGGATTTGGGATTTTGGGATTTTGGGATTTTGGGATTTTGGAGGGAAATTGGAGGTTTAGGATTTAGGAAGGGAAATTTGGGACTTGGGATCAGAAATTTGGGATTTGGGATTTTGGGAATTTGAAGTGGGAAATTTGGGGAATTTAGGGTGGGAAATTGAGGATTTGGGCTGGGAAATTTGGGATGGGAGATTCAGGATTTGGGCTGGGAATTTTGGGATTTAGGATGGGAAATTCAGAATTGAGGATCAGAAATTCGGGAAGGGAATTTTGGGACTTAGGATCAGGAATTCCATGTTTAGGATCAGGAATTTGGGATTCAGGCTGGGAATTTGGGCTTTAGGCTCAGGAATTCAGGATTTGGACTGGGAATTTGGGATGTAGGAACAGGAATTTTGGGATTTAGGCTGGGAATTCTGTATTTAGGCTCAGGAATTCGGGATTTAGGGTCAGGAATTTGGGATTTGGGCTCAGGAGCCGCCCGTGGCCGGGTGAGCTCCCCACGTCCCAAATTCCCGTTTCATTCCCATTTTATTCCCATTTCATCCCCGTTCCATCCCCGCTCCATTCCCGTTTTTTCCCCATTTTTTCCCCCGTTCCA